CAGGCGCAACATTTCGTCATGCATGTTCGAAGAGGAGGTCCCCTATCTGGGTCGCCGAAGCGCTTCTTTGCGAGTTTCTTCAAGTAGAGGATGATGAATGGCACAGGCACCATGTTCCTAGAGAAACAGAGACTAGATGTAAAGTTTTGTGTACATAGTATGAATGACAAGTTGCTGACACTAGAGTGACAAATCACAATTTACATTTCAGCCACGCCAATGAAAATTGATCATAAAAAACATCATCATGGCCCTATATGTCGATCACCAGGATCAAAAACTGCTAATATCAAATGCTACGTAGTCTAGCACTTGGCTTTCACATCATCCTGAGTTCGCGCACGCGGATGCCACACCACCTTCTTCCTGCCCACCTGCTCCTCTCTCGCTCTGTCCCTCTCTCTTCTGTCTTCTGCACACAACAGAAATCTATTCAGAGTGGATTCTTTCTTGTTCTTCTAAAATGGAGGTGCAGATTTCCCCCGAACGTTAATGCATTGGAATTCTGCAGGAGATTGTCAAAGACGTTTCAAATAGAGGCATCACTGACCTTTGTACTAGTGAAAGGCGGGCAACAGTTGAGTCACATGACTGGGGCTAAGAAGGAAGAGCTTGAGAGGAAGATCAACACGTTCATCGCATCCTCCTAAACCTAACTGAATGCCTGCACTCCAATATAAGTACTAGTTTCTCTTGGTGGAAGTGGGCTCCTATGACTTGTCCATATTGTACTGCCTATTCTCCTAAAATTGCTACCAGTTGTGGTATATTCATCTTATTGATGTCAATTCAAAAGAAGAAACAAGTCGCTGGTATAAGTTGTACTAGATTCATGCAATCCCCATAGCACATTGCTTCCAACCAAGAATTAATCGCATGCACGGATCCGTCTAGTGCAATGGATTAATGGTCCCCATAATTCCTCAAACGAGCAAATCAAAAGGAGAGGGGATGGAATCGTCTCACTGCTATTCAGAGGTGATAAGCAAAGTCGGTGAGGAGGCAATGGAGAGCTCTCACTGGTAGGTGTGCTGTGCAGCCGACTTCAGCACCGAGTCATCGACACAACATAGAGTTATCAGTGGGCTTTGTGTGCTGGACGGAGAGCGAAAAGGAGAGCCAGCGCCCCAGGCCGGTGAAGACGTGCAACCACTGCAGGCAGCGATGCTCGACCGCCTTTTCCTGGAGCGCATCTGACAGCGGCTCTCAGATAGTTGATGTGTGAGTGGCATAGGATTGGATTTCAGGATTGGTCAGTGATGATAGGATGAGGTGGAGGGAAGGGAGGAGAGAGACAGGAGGGAAGAGAACAAGGAAGAAGGCGGAATACTACCCATATGTGCAAAACCAAGGTGAGGTGCATGCCACTCGAGCAAAACCATAGCAACGCCATTAAAGCCGTTGCCAAAACCAGCGGGGAGTATTGTGCGTTGTGGTCCTCTAGCTCCGGCTGTGTTGGTTATGTCGCCTCTGGTTGCTGCTTCCAGTTGGTGGATGCTCAATACAATCTTCTTGTTTGTTCACCGCGTCTTCGATGGAATATAAAGCTCCTTAACTGGAACATGAGAGAGTTGAACAACCCGGCCTGGAGGAGATTACTACAGAAATTTTTGTCAGCTAACCAGTGCAATATTGTATGTCTTCAAGAAACTAAATTGGCTGATGTTGATAAAAGTATTGTGGCTAAAGTCCTGGGCAGCAGAGTTTCTGAGGACTTCGTCTTCAAAGCTGCTAATGCTAAAAGAGGTGGGATCCTGGTTGCCAGCGCATATCATTTTGCTATTTCCTTCAACTAGAATGCTTCAGGATCACTTTATTACTGGTACTATTACTGATCTGACCAATAATGCTGCTCTGGCGGATGGCGATAAGATTCTTTTTCTCAATGAGCTTAAGAGCATAAAGAATAGTGTGTTGCCTGGTTGGATGATTCTTGGGGACTTTAATCTCATTTGTCGTGTCAGCGACGAAAGCAACTCCAACAATAATCTCAGAATGATGGGCCACTTTAAAAATGTGATTGAGGATATTGAGCTCCAGGAAATTGCTCTTAATGTAAGGAGGTTCACCTGGTCTAAGGAGAGAGAGAACACGGTTCATTCCAAAATCAACCATGTTAATCTTGGGAACTGAGCCACTTGTAATATCACTTGTTTGCGGTCTCAACTGCCATTTGGCATCACTGTCCAATGATCCTTCAGAAGATGGATGCCAAGCACTATAAAGGGTTCATATTTGATGCTTGCTGACCAAAGAAGGAGGGATTCAGAGAGAAGGTGCTTGAGGCTGGGCTAAACCTGTTCGCTCGAAGGATGCTGTAAAGATTCTGCACATAAAACTGTCAAGAGCCACCCATGCTGTGAAACATTGATATACAAGATTAAAGAAGGGAAGTGAGATTCAGAAAGGAGGTGGCCACTGAGGTGATTTCTCAGCCGGACCTTGATCAGGAGGACCGTGAGCTATTTGCTAAGGAATGAAACCTTCATTTTCTCTTGAAATTGAAGCAGTTTGGCATTGCAGCGCTTGACAAAGTGAGATGGCGTCAGAGATCTTGTATTATGTGGATCAAATCTGGAGATGCAAACACAAAAGTTTTTCGCGTTAAATCCAATGACCCAGAGGAGGAAGAATCACATTCCTGTTCTGAAAAATCTGAGGGGTGAAGAGACGTCTGACCATGATGCTAAAGCTCGGGTGATGCTTCATCACTTCAATTAACTGCTCGGGGAGGCCTGCCAGAGACTTTATGGGGCTTAACTGGGATTTTCTGCAACTCCCATCGGCTGATCTTCCACACCTTGATGATACTTTCTCTCTTACGGAGCTCAAAGACGCCATCTCAATCTGCATGCTGAGAAGGCTCCGGGCACGGATGGATTTATTGGGGCTTCTTAACAAAACCCGTGGGGATATCGTTTGCTCGGACCTTCTGACTGCCCTAAATCAAATGCATGAGTTGAGGTGATCACTGGCACCTGCTGAATACTGCCAATGATTTCTCATTCCAAAAAAAGATGTGGCTTCTTCGCCTCTTGCTTCCGCCCTGAGTCATATGCATAGTATTGCTAAGATATTATGAAAGTTGATTTCTTCTTGCTGCCCTGGAGTTGCATTCCCTGATCACTGAGAGCCAAAGCACCTTCATTAAGAAAAGGTATATTCAGGATAACTCTCTGTTTGTGAAGAACATTATCAAGGAAGCTCACTCGAAGAAAATACCTCTACTTTTCCTCAAACCGGACGTTGGTAAGGCGTTTCATTCAGTCAGATGGGATGGCTCTTCAGGCTTATGGTTTCAGTGCTCGTCGGAGGGATCATTTTTCATTGAACCTGAATTCTTCCTACTCAAGAGTTCTGCTCAATGGGAAGCCTGGTGGCACTTTTATTCATAGGGGAGGGCTGAGACAGGGAGACCTGCTTGCCCCAATGCTCTTCATTTTGGCGCTAGAACCTTTACAGTGCATTCTGGCCAAAGCTACTGGTCATGGCCTCTTATCCCCTGTCATGCAAAGAGCTGCAAAGATGAGAATAAGTTTCTTATGCGGATGACGTCGCTCTCTTCTTGAACTATATCAAGGAGGAGCTTGTTGTGGCCTCGGGCCCCTTCATTTCTTTGGCAATGTCTCTGATCTTCAGGTGAATGTCAACAAGTTGACCTATCGTATTCGCTGTGACCACCTGGGTCTACAAGATCTTTTATCTATTGGATTATCAAAACGATATACAAGATCAGGAGAAGTTTTCTCTGGTGTGGATAAGAGGTGCATGGGGGAGAGTGTTTAGTAAGCTGTATGAAAGTCTGCTCATCTAAATACTGTTGGGGATTAGGAGTGAAAGATTTGGAGAATGTTAGCAGGGCATTGTGGTTAAGATGGCTATGGTTCAAGTGGGACAATGTGGACAGACCATGTAAAGGACTGCTTGTTCCTTGCAACGCGACCAATCAGCAGCTCTTTGCAACATGCACTTCGATTCACATTGAATGGGGAAAAGGCATCATTCTGTTTCGACGGTTGTCTTGATGGAGTCCCTCTGAATATGGCACCCAACTTATACCGGTTGGCCTCTAGGAAAAGTATCTCTGTTTGTGAGTCAGGGGAGGAAAGTGGATGAAGGGCACAATGATGTGTGTTCCATGTGTGACAATTAGTGAACCATCTAATGTTGGGATGTTCTTTTACTAAGCAAATTTGGTTTGCCTTCTCCTCCTTTCATTTTAGAGCTTCTGCCATTACCCTGAGGTCTTCCGTTGCTAGCCGGTGGAGAAAACCTTTACATGGAGTAAAAAATCCCCAATGCTGGAAGATGGCGTCCATGGCGATTTATGTAATCTGTCCCCTGTGGAAGGAGCGCAGCCACGGGATCTTCCAAAATGCCCAGGGCTACTCTGATGAGGGCATATCTTTAATTCGTGCTGACCTTCCGTGTATAGGCCAGCTTGATCGAGAGTAATTGACATGTATATTTTTCTTTGGGTTTTGAGCTATGTACAGAATTCTCCCTTCTTTAATTCAAAGTAGAGCTCCTGATGTACCCATAGAAAAACAGGCAGGGAAAGAGGTAACTATCTTTTGGGGGACTAAGAGTGAAAAATTGTTCCTGTGATAAAGTAAGCATAGCATATAACTTAGGGGCAAAAGGTGAATCTCTTCCACTCAACTATAGTTGCAAACTTGCTAATTTCAGTCCCTTGATCATAATGTGCTCTTCTCAGAATCAGCTCTAATACTATGTTGGAACAGAAAATCTGTAGTAACTGGTAAGCGATAATCAAGTATCACTACCTCTAAACCTTAGTAATGCACAACTAGTGAACTACCAATTAACCTGAGCAAAAACAGACAACAGCTAAGTTGTCTTGGAGATGGCCGTCAGTTAACTAGCAACCTCAGTTCCACGCACTAACTAAAATGGGTCATATATTAATATTCACTTAGTTTGTTAGTATAGATCTACTAGATGAAGCATTGACACTGAGATAAGAAATATACCCCAAATCAACCGGATGGGGTGAAGGCGCATCCAAATCCAATACCCGACCGGAATCGCTCTGCGCATCTTGAGCACCGACAATGTGGCAAGGGTGAACACGACATCGTCGTCGGGCCAGCCCAGCCTCCGAAGCGATGCCGCCACCCGCAGCCCGAACCCAGACGCCTTGATGGAGTCCTCGGCCGCCGTGAGTGCCGCGCCACGGCAGCCGAGCAGGGCGGCGGAGCACAGGAACGCGCCCAGCGCCAGCCACCCCGCAAGCGCGGCCTAGTCGCCGGGCGCCTGGCCCGGCTCCTCCGTCGCGCCCGCGCCGGCGCGCATGCGGCTCTGGCGACGGGAGCGAGAGCTTTGCGGGGAGGTGGCGGGATTCTGGGAGGAGGGAGGCTGGATCCCTCGGGCGGAGTGCAGGCGGCGGAGCCGCGAGGAGAGGCCTCCGTCTCCAAATGCCAGCGGGAAAGGCGAGGCCGCGAGGGCGTGGCGGCGATAAGTGCAGCCGCCATGGGCCCATGGCTGGCCGGATCGAGGACAGAGGCTGATTTAGCTCGCCGTCGCGACCGTGGTGCTCTGCGAGTTTGGGTCGGTACGGACGGTGGTTAGAGCATCTCCAGCCGCGTCCCCAACAGGTCCTCTCCAGGCGTTTTTGCCGCGCCGGCGCCGAAAAAACGCCCAGTCGCCCCCAAAAATCCGTTTTTGCCGGCTTGGGCCGAATCTGGTACCGGCGGAGCCAGGCAGAACCCGGTGCCTTGGGGGCGCCTGGGGCGCCGGCACAAGTGAAAAGGACGCGTGGATCCGCCCTGTCGGCGAGTCGAGCGCCTCTTCCCGTCGTTTCTTCCCGCTTTTCCCCAGTTCCCTCCAATTTTCTCCTTCCTCCCGCTCGCCTCCCAGCCGGCCGCCATGGCACCGAAGAAGTACGTCGTCCCCCACGCCGCGGCAACCGCGACCACTCCCTCCATCGCCCAGCCGAAGCAGAGGAAGCCGAGGGCGCCGCCATCCAAGCCGTCGGGCATGACAAACGCCGATTGGAGGGTAGAAGTACAGCGGCGGGAGGCCGTCACCGCCGACCGGCGGAACGGGGCCCTCGCCAAGAAGGCCCGTGACAACGCGGCACGCGCGGCTGCCGCTTCCGCGGACCAGGCCGAGGCCGGGGCGACGCGCGCGGGGATGATGAATCCACCCGGCAACCACGTGCAGTACGCGCCCTGGGGCCAGCAAGGCATCGGGTCTCCGACACCTCAGCCATGGGGATCGTCGGGTTACGCCGACGGGGACGTGCACGGTGGGTTCAACCCAAACGTCACGTCCCCCCATGGACACCCGGCCCAGCGCACGCCCTCGCCCGCCTTCACCGGCGTGCAGTACCCTCCATACAACTACTCGCCGCCCGCGTACGCATCCTCCCCGACGCCCCCTCTCCACCGTTGTGCACTGTTGGGGAACGTTGCAGAAAACAAAAATTTTCCTACGGTTTCACCAAGATCCATCTATGAGTTCATCTAGCAATGAGTGATTAGATGCATCTACATACCTTGTAGATCGCGAGCGGAAGCGTTCAAAGAACGGGGATGATGTAGTCGAACACGACGTGATCCAAATCACCGGAGATCCTAGCACCGAACGGACGACACCTCCGCGTTCAACACACGTACAGAACAGCCACGTCTCCTCCTTCTTGATCCAGCAAGGGGGGAGGAGAGGTTGAGGGAGATGGCACCAGCAGCAGCACGACGGCGTGGTGTTGATGGAGCTGCAGTACTCCGGGCAGGGCTTCGCCAAGCGCTATGGAGGAAGAGGAGGTGTTGGAGAGGGAGAAGGAGGCAACCAAAGGCCAAGGTATGAAGTCCCTCCTCTCCCCCACTATATATAGGAGGGCCAAGGGGGGGTGGCCGGCCCTAGGAGATCCAATCTCCTAGGGGGGCGGCGGCCAAGGGGGGTTTCCCTCCCCCCCAAGGCACCTAGGAGGTGCCTTCCCCTCCTAGGACTCTTCCCCCTTCAAACCCTAGGTGCATGGGCCTATGTGGGGCTGGTGCCCTTGGCCCATGTAGGCCAAGGCGCACCCCCTACAGCCCATGTGCCCCCCCCGGGACAGGTGGACCCACCCGGTGGACCCCCGGGACTCTTCCGGTGGTCCCGGTACAATACCGATAACCCCGAAACTTGTCCCGATGCCCGAAACAGGACTTCCCATATATAAATCTTTACCTCCGGACCATTCTGGAACTCCTCGTGACGTCCGAGATCTCATCCGGGACTCCGAACAACATTCGGGTTACTGCATATACATATCCCTACAACCCTAGCGTAACCGAACCTTAAGTGTGTAGACCCTACGGGTTCGGGAGACATGTAGACATGACCGAGATCGCTCTCCGGTCAATAACCAACAGCGGGATCTGGATACCCATGTTGGCTCCCACATGCTCCACGATGATCTCATCGGATGAACCACGATGTCGAGGATTTAATCAACCCCGTATGCAATTCCCTTTGTCAATCGATATGTTACTTGCCCGAGATTCGATCGTCGGTATCCCAATACCTTGTTCAATCTCGTTACCGGCAAGTCACTTTACTCGTACCGTAATGCATGATCCCGTGACCAGACACTTGGTCACTTTGAGCTCATTATGATGATGCATTACCGAGTGGGCCCAGTGATATCTCTCCGTCATACGGAGTGAAAAATCCCAGTCTTGATCCGTGTCAACCCAACAGACACTTTCGGAGATACCTGTAATGCACCTTTATAGTCACCCAGTTACGTTGTGACGTTTGATACACCCAAAGCACTCCTACGGTATCCGGGAGTTACACGATCTCATGGTCAAAGGAAAAGATACTTGACATTAGAAAAGCTCTAGCAAATGAACTACACGATCTCACGCTATGCTTAGGACTGGGTCTTGTCCATCACATCATTATCCTAATGATGTGATCCCGTTATCAATGACATCCAATGTCCATAGCCAGGAAACCATGACTATCTATTGATCAACAAGCTAGTCAACTAGAGGCTTACTAGGGACATGTTGGTGTCTGTTATTCACACATGTATTACGATTTCCGGATAATACAATTATAGCATGAATAAAGACAATTATCATGAACAAAGAAATATAATAATAATGCTTTTATTATTGCCTCTAGGGCATATTTCCAACAGTCTCCCACTTGCACTAGAGTCAATAATCTAGTTACATTATGATGAATCGAACACCCATGGAATTCTGGTGTTGATCATGTTTTGCTCTAGGGAGAGATTTAGTCAACGGATCCGCTATATTCAGGTCCGTATGTACTTTACAAATCTCTATGTCTCCATATTGAACATTTTCACGAATGGAGTTGAAGCGACGCTTGATGTGCCTTGTCTTCTTGTGAAACCTGGGCTCCTTGGCAAGTGCAATAGCTCCAGTGTTGTCACAGAAGAGCTTGATCGGCCCCGACGCATTGGGTATGACTCCTAGGTCGGTGATGAACTCCTTCACCCATATTGCTTCATGTGCTGCCTCCGAGGCTGCCATGTACTCCGCTTCACATGTAGATCCCACCACGACGCTCTGCTTGCAACTGCACCAGCTTACTGCCCCACCATTCAAAATATACACGTATCCAGTTTGTGACTTAGAGTCATCCAGATCTGTGTCGAAGCTAGCGTCGACATAACCCTTTACGACGAGCTCTTCGTCACCTCCATAAACGAGAAACATTTCCTTAGTCCTTTTCAGGTACTTCAGGATATTCTTGACCGCTGTCCAGTGTTCCTTGCCGGGATTACTTTGGTACCTTCCTACCAAACTTACGGCAAGGTTTACATCAGGTCTGGTACACAGCATGGCATACATAATAGAACCTATGGCTGAGGCATAGGGGATGACACTCATGTCTTCTATATCTTCTGCCGTGGTCGGACATTGAGCTGAGCTCAATTTCACACCTTGCAAAACAGGCAAGAACCCTTTCTTGGACTGATCCATTTTGAACTTCTTCAAAATCTTATCAAGATATGTGCTTTGTGAAAGACCTATGAGGCGTCTCGATCTATCTCTATAGATCTTGATGCCTAATATATAAGCAGCTTCTCCAAGGTCCTTCATTGAAAAACTCTTATTCAAGTAGGCCTTAATGTTGTCCAAAAGTTCTATATCATTTCCCATCAAAAGTATGTCATCTACATATAGTATGAGAAATGCTATAGAGCTCCCACTCACTTTCTTGTAAACACAGGCTTCTCCATAAGTCTGTGTGAACCCAAATGCTTTGATCATCTCATCAAAACGAATGTTCCAACTCCGAGATGCTTGCACCAGCCCATAAATCGAGCGTTGGAGCTTGCACACCTTGTCAGCATTCTTAGGATCGACAAAACCTTCCGGCTGCATCATATACAATTCTTCCTTAAGGAAACCATTAAGGAATGCCGTTTTGACGTCCATTTGCCAAATTTCATAATCATAAAATGCGGCAATTGCTAACATGATTCGGACGGACTTCAGCTTCGCTACCGGTGAGAAAGTCTCATCGTAGTCAACCCCTTGAACTTGTCGATAACCCTTAGCGACAAGCCGAGCTTTATAGATGGTCACATTACCATCCGCGTATGTCTTCTTCTTAAAGATCCATTTATTTTCTATGGCTCGCCATTCTACGGGCAAGTCAGTCAAAGTCCATACTTCGTTTTCATACATGGATCCTATCTCGGATTTCATGGCTTCTAGCCATTTGTCGGAATCCGGGCCCGCCATCGCTTCTTCATAGTTCGAAGGTTCACTGTTGGCTAACAACATGATTTCCAAGACAGGGTTGCCGTACTACTCTAGTGCGAAACGTGTCCTTGGGGACCTTCGAATTTCAGTAGGAGTTTGATCAGAAGTATCTTGATCATCACCATTAACTTCCTCTCTAGTCGGTGCAGGCACCTCAGGAACATTTTCTTGAGTTGCGCCATTTTCTGGTTCAAGAGGTAATACTTCATCAAGCTCTACTTTCCTCCCACTTACTTCTTTCGAGAGAAACTCTTTCTCCAGAAAGGACCCATTCTTGGAAATAAAGATCTTGCCTTCGGATCTGAGGTAGAAGATATACCCAACAGTTTCTTTAGGGTATCCTATGAAGATGCATTTTTCCGATTTGGGTTCGAGCTTTTCAGGTTGAAGTTTCCTGACATAAGCATCGCATCCCCAAACTTTTAGAAACGACAGTTTAGGTTTCTTCCCAAACCATAATTCATACGGTGTCGTCTCAACGGATTTCGACGGTGCCCTATTTAAAGTGAATGCGGCAGTCTCTAAAGCATAGCCCCAAAAAGATAGTGGTAAATCAGCAAGAGACATCATAGATCGTACCATATCTAATAGAGTGCGATTACGACGTTCGGACACACCATTACGCTGAGGTGTTCCAGGCGGCGTGAGTTGTGAAACTATTCCACATTTTCTTAAGTGTGTACCAAACTCGTGACTCAAGTATTCTCCTCCACGATCTGATCGTAGAAACTTGATTC